ATCATTCATACCTATAACACCTGTCAGTAAGGGGTGTAATAACAAGTCTTCCTGTATTCCCAAGATATTCATACGCGTACTTGACCGTGGTTGTTATCATCTTCACCATAACTGCTTTCTTCTCCCAATAATAACGTAACTGACTAATCCACTGGAAATCTGCAGGGTCCACCACGTTCGTCTCCAACAGCTTTGCGACGACATCTCTTGCTAGTAATAAGAAATACAAACATGATTTATTAGAGGATTTTAAAATAATCAGTCCCTCGCAGTATGTGACGTTTATTTGCTAACCGCCAGCATTTTGGCGCTCTAAACTGTCTTTGGGTTATTCTTGTCTAAGGCATTGTGTGCAGTGTGTCTCGCTAGGGTATAAACCCGTTATCAATGTATCATGTCCTTTGAGGGGTTTTCTCCGGGTTCTCACTCTGGAAAATCTAACCCTCTAAATACCAATTCAATCTGACTTCTAGCTGGGCAGACTGAGTAACCAATTCCCGCGTGATTGAAGTAAAATATATTAAGCACGCATATAAATGCTCAATATAAAGTACTTACCATGGACATCAATAACAATCAGCGCACCAAGTGTTATCCTCTCCATGGAGGACAGCTTGCCTCGAACCAGACCTACGATATCCTCGATCTGTTGGGTGCTGTGTTGATAGTATTCCTGTAGTCCTTGAGTCTTTTGCATCGCCTGAAAAGGGTTTATAGAATGCCTCTACTTAGCATGCGCAAAGCATGACTCAACATCTAAGCGTGTGACCTACTATTCGGACTGGGCGCATGCTCAATAAGCTGCTACGCTGCTACATGCTCTTGAACTTACTGGGCATGTTTCAAAGGGACTTTTTACGAGAGTTTGAGGTTCTAGGCCTAATACTCCAAAAAATGCCAAAATTGTCAAAGGCGGTTTTACACCAGGTAATGCTCCTTGCAACTTGTCTCGCAATCTCGCAGCGTAATAAAGAAATGGAATGTTAAACTAGGCAATGATGTTCTCATGTCACCGTAATGGGCGCATGCAAGCGCACGAGATTGTGTGACAAGTTGCAAGCAACATTGGGTAGTGTAACACAACATGGATAAGCATGTAGATAAGCGCGGGTATCAATACAGTGTTGAGTAGTTTACCTCAGTAACGTCTGTTGTCCAGTAGATGATACTTGTAGCCAATACCACTTGACCAGGCCAGGATAACACCCATTCTGTACGAGGTGTCTGGGGGTATGCTGCTACTGCTTCCGCCATTACTTCACGTAGGCTCAGCTTCATCACATTTTCGATCTGCCAAGGCAAACAATTCAAGACTTAATGAAATCATGAAGAAATAATGAAAAAATATGAAGAGATGTTTTTCTTCATATCTTTCTTTAACTCTTGAGAACGTTAAGAAACGTTTTTGTTTCCTTCAGGTCGGGTCCCTGTTTTGAATTTTTCCGTCGTCACATATGAAAAGACGAATGGACTCTCATGTTGTCTCTATTGCCATGAGGGTTTTTCCTCAAGTCATGCTTCTTCCGCGAACATGAGAGTTTTGTGTATAGAAAATCCATGAACTTAGAGTGAAAGTGAGCCAGATTGGAACAGGGCCTGATTGTACGAAGGGTGGATATAGCGCTATCCATCGGATAAATCCTTATCCAGTGGATAAAGCGATGCTTCTATCCAATAATTTTATCCATTGGATAAGATTTATCCGTAGGATAGCGATATCCAGGCTCGTACAACCGGTCCCAACATAACTACTAAATTTCTTCACCTAATACAAAAAACAAAAACAAAAAAGAAAAAAAGAAAAAAAGAAAAAAAAAGAAAAAAAAAGAAAAAAAGAAAAAAAGAA